GCATGCTGATCATGTCTTGATCTCAGGTCATGACGGAGGCACAGGAGCATCTAGATGGACTGGCATAAAAAATGCTGGTCTCCCTTGGGAGCTTGGCTTGGCTGAAACCCACCAAACTTTGGTTGCAAATGACTTGCGTGGTCGCACAACTCTCCAGACAGATGGACAGCTCAAAACTGGTAGAGATGTTGCCATTGCTGCACTGCTTGGTGCTGAAGAGTTTGGTTTCAGCACCGCTCCACTCATTACTCTTGGTTGCATCATGATGCGGAAGTGCCACAAGAACACTTGTCCTGTTGGCATTGCCACTCAAGATCCAGTGCTTAGAGAGAAGTTTGGTGGAGAACCCGAGCATGTTATCAACTTTTTCTTCATGGTGGCAGAAGAGATGAGAGAAATCATGTCTCAGCTTGGATTTCATACTGTAAATGAGATGGTTGGTCGTTCAGATATGCTTGAAGTTGACAAAGAAGTAGCTAAAAGCAATGAGAAGATGGAGAACATTGATCTCTCACTGTTGCTTAGACCTGCAGCTGAATTACGGCCAGAAGCTGCTCAATATTGTGTTCAAAAACAAGATCACAGTTTGGACATGGCCTTGGACAATGAGCTAATAAGCCTGTCTAGTGCTGCTTTGGAAAAGGGTCTTCCTGTGTACATTGAAACTCCAATCTGTAATGTAAATCGTGCTGTGGGAACCATGCTTAGCCATCAGGTGACTAAACGGTACCACTTGGCTGGTCTTCCAACTGATACCATTCATATTAAATTTGCTGGAAGTGCAGGCCAGAGTTTTGGCGCATTCCTTTGTCCTGGTGTCACTTTGGAACTTGAAGGTGATAGCAATGACTATGTCGGTAAAGGATTATCTGGTGGAAAGATTGTGGTATACCCTCCCAAGGGAAGCAACTTTGATCCCAAGGAGAATATCGTAATTGGCAATGTGGCATTGTATGGTGCAACAAGTGGTGAGGCTTATTTCAATGGGATGGCAGCAGAGAGATTTTGTGTACGTAATTCTGGGGCAAAGGCTGTTGTGGAAGGTGTTGGTGATCATGGATGTGAATACATGACTGGTGGAACTGTCGTTGTACTTGGGAAAACTGGTAGAAATTTCGCGGCAGGAATGAGTGGTGGTATTGCTTATGTGCTAGATTCTGAAGAAAAATTCCGCTCTCGATGCAACCTTGAGCTTGTAGATCTAGACAAGGTTGAAGAGGAGGATATTATGACTCTTAGAATGATGATACAGCAACATCAGCGCCACACAAATAGTACACTTGCCAAAGGAGTGCTTGACAACTTTGAGAATCTTGTTCCTAAATTTATCAAAGTGTTCCCCAAGGAGTATAAACGTGCACTTGCAAAAATGAAGGCTGAGGCAGCCTCCAAAGAGGCAGTGGAGGCTGTCGCCAAAGGTGCAGAAGATCAAGATGAAGCACAACCAGTGGAAAAAGATGCTTTTGAAGAACTTAAGAAACTGGCTGCTGCATCTTTGAATGAAAAACCAAGTCAGGTGATTTGAAACATTAGCTACTTCACTCCATTTCTTGCCCTACATGTTTTATAAATGTTAAGTTATTCTATAACAACATTGTGAGTCCTTCAAAGATTGGTACATAGCTAGCTTGTGCTTGTTGCTCATATATGAAGCTGACTGATTTGGAAGATACCATTATTCTGTAGTACTGCTTTTTTAGTTGGCTGATGCCTTTGAAATTTTTCTGCAGGCTGAGCAGGCTAAAGCACCCAAAAGGCCTCGTAAAGTCGCAGATGCAGTCAAACATAGAGGTTTTGTTGCCTATGAGCGTGAGAGTGTCCAATACCGTGACCCTAATATTCGAGTGAATGACTGGAAAGAAGTCATGGAGGAGGGGAAGCCTGGTCCCCTTTTGAAGACTCAATCAGCTCGTTGCATGGACTGTGGCACTCCTTTCTGTCATCAGGTGTGATTTGCCAATTCTGTGAAATTTTGCATTTAAAATTACAGAGTTCACTTTTTATTTGGGGTTGTGGGTAAACTAAATAACAAATTTATTTGCATGAAACTGCAGGAAAATTCTGGTTGTCCTCTTGGGAATAAAATACCTGAATTTAATGAGTTAGTATACCAGAATAGGTGGCGTGAAGCATTAGATCGCCTTCTTGAGACAAACAACTTTCCAGAGTTTACAGGTCGGGTGTGCCCAGCACCTTGTGAAGGTGCTTGTGTTTTGGGCATCATTGAGGATCCTGTATCTATAAAAAGTATTGAATGTTCCATCATAGACAAAGCTTTTGAGGAGGGGTGGATGGTGCCAAGACCTCCATCTAAGAGAACTGGGTAAGCTATTTTCTTTAGTACACATTCAGATTGTCTTTTTGCATGCTTGTGCTCCTTTTCAGTGTGATGGATATGATGAATACGTGATATTCTGCCATTATACTGTGGAAAGGTGTTGCAAATTGCAATCATCGATGAGCTCAACAACATTGCTTTTTAATATCTATTGATGCAGGAAAAGAGTTGCCATTGTTGGAAGTGGACCGGCAGGTTTGGCCACAGCTGATCAACTAAATAAAATGGGGCATACAGTAACTGTATATGAAAGAGCTGATAGGATTGGAGGGCTTATGATGTATGGGGTCCCCAACATGAAAGCTGACAAGGTGGATATAGTTCAGCGGCGGGTTAACCTTATGGCTGATGAGGGAGTCAACTTTGTGGTGGATGCCAATGTTGGAGTTGATCCATTATTCTCTCTTGATCGGCTTCGAGAAGAAAATGATGCTATTGTGTTAACTGTAGGAGCTACAAAGCCAAGGTGAGACACAACACAGGATTTCCAATTATTTTCCACCAAGCGCAATGTTTTCTATAATTTTTTTCTAGACCAGTTGGAAACCGTTTGCTTATAATTGTTGTTATTTGTCCCTCAGGGATCTTCCCGTACCAGGACGGGATCTGTCAGGAATTCACTTTGCCATGGAATTTCTTCATGCAAACACCAAAAGCTTGCTTGATAGTAATCTGGAGGACAGAAATTATATTTCTGCCAAGGGTAAAAAGGTGGTTGTCATTGGTGGGGGTGACACTGGCACAGATTGCATTGGGACGTCTATTCGTCATGGGTGTAGGAGCGTTGTGAATTTAGAGCTGCTTCCTCAGCCACCACAAACTAGGGCCCCAGGCAACCCTTGGCCACAGGTTAAATCCATTTTTCCTTAAGTCGTAGCTTTTTGCTTTTTTCCCCCCAAGCTTAACTAGTGAATGATTGGTCCTTTCACGTGCCAGTGCTAAAGACTATTTGTTATTTCATTTACTTGAATGGCCGATGATGTTCTTGAGAATATTCCACCTTGTATCATTAATTGCCTTCCTTAGTGTTTCGATTGACTTAGATTAGTGAACATTGACAGTAATTGCAGCTGTTTTCTTACAAGTAATTCAGCCTTTTGCATTTGAAACGGAATGGCATGGTTAGTATTTTGTTTAACCAACTAGTGTTTCTTGAATGCAGTGGCCTCGCATATTCCGTGTAGATTATGGGCACCAGGAAGCTGCTACTAAATTCGGGAAAGATCCAAGATCTTATGAGGTTCTAACCAAGCGTTTTGTGGGGGATGAGAATGGAATCTTGAAAGGACTTGAAGTGGTACGCGTGCGCTGGGAGAAGGATGAAACTGGCAAGTTTCAATTTAAGGAAATTGAGGGTTCTGAGGAGATTATTGAGGCTGACTTAGTTTTTTTAGCCATGGGCTTCCTTGGCCCCGAGTCCGTAAGTATTCGTCATATTTTTAAGCTATAAAAACTCCGACTTCTTGTTACACTTCGAGTCCCACTAATCTGGGTGCTTTGCTTTTTACAGACAATTGCGGACAAGTTGGGGATGGAGAAAGACAACAGGTCAAACTTCAAGGCAGATTATGGCCGCTTCTCAACCAGTGTGAAAGGGGTCTTTGCTGCTGGTGATTGTCGCCGTGGCCAATCCCTTGTGGTATGGGCAATCTCAGAGGGACGACAAGCTGCTACTCAAGTTGACAAGTACCTCCTTGAAGAAGAGAGGGAACACATGGCCGGGAACCAGGAGGAACTTAAGAGGCAGGAAGACCTTGCCAGGAAGCACCTGGACAGCGGTAAACACACAGTAATGACATGAAAAGTTCGCATGATTTTTCATCTCGTATAGTACCAAAGGGAAGTGCACAGTATAATCAATATGTTTCCAAGGGATCTCCCAAGATGGGATCTGGATTTTATTTGGCTTTCCGTAGGCATTCTTTGTTGGTACGCCAAAAGGGCCAGAATAATACGATATTTTGTCTTCGGTGTTGGTAGTTTTTGGGGGTATATAATTTCTGCATATTGAATCTTTGTTTATAGCTTTTATGCAGGCTCTTTGTTGGAAAGGTTAGCTATTTTAGCAGTTGATGTAATGTACAGTTTGCTATTTAGTTATTGAAGTATTGCTTGCATTATTTAGTCCTCTTAGTGAGTGAATAGGTTCTTGAGGGCTCTTGATCTGTAACTTCGTTTTCCGTTTAGCAAATTGCAGGGAATAATTCGGCTGTTTGTATCCTGAAATTTTCAGCTTAAGAAAACCCATAAATGATCATTCATAGGCAGAATCGGGTTGCGCTCGCTATAACCCAGTGCTTTTCTTATATTTTGTTTGAAAAATAGTAAAATATTTTTAATATGTGAAAGTATACGCACATATTAATTGAACAAATATTCTCTGATAAATTCTACTGATCAAAATTGCAGAATATTTTTAGTTGTTTCTTCATAAACATTCTGCAATTTTCGTTTCTTTATTCTTGTTTTGTGTTTACGCTCAGCTGTTCAAGCAATTTAATGTGGTTGCTTACTCCAGCCATCGATGTCAACGTTACTAAATTATGAAATATGGTTAAGTTGGGCACACACACCATCTTCTACTCTAGTTAAGGTGCTTTAACCCGAATAAGGGACATATAATAAAAAGAAAGGAACATCATGATCATTGTGATCGAGACTCGTGCATTTCCGCTCCACAATCTCCCGGGAGGGCGTAGCTGTGGAGGTGAGAAAGGTATGTAATCTATAACTGCAGAATTTTATAAATATGATACACAATTCATTCAGCTCATCCAACTTCACATAGACATGATAGAAAAGAACATAACCAAAAAAAAAAAAAAAGGATGAACGTAACCCGACAGTAGTTTTTTAATTGATCAATGACATAAGAGGACAAGACACACGGCATAAGCATAAAGTTTAAAACCGCATATGATAGTGGCAAATCAAAAGAGTAAATTGGCAAACCGAAAGTCAGTACTCAGTAGTCCTCCACTCCACAACATGAACATTCGCTTCCTCCTCCTCTTCTACATTCTTCCTCCAGCAAGCATAGAAACATGCTCAGACGCCGTTTGTCAGGACGATAACCTGACAGTCCGATTCCCGTTTCGAATCCAACAGAGTCAGCAGCAGCCAAAGTCGTGTGGTTATCCAGGTTTTGATGTATCTTGCAGTAACCAAGGCCAAACACAGCTGAAACTCCCATCCTCTGGGGGAGAATTCAATATCCGAGGAATAGATTATGCAGCACAAGAACTATGGATCAATGATCCCGAGAACTGCCTCCCAAAACGCATTCTCTCCCTCAATCTCACTGGATCTCCATTTAGCGGCGTTTATTATCAAGATTTCTCATTCTTCAACTGTTCCTCGGAGTATCTCAAGTATCGGTATACCCCAATAGCTTGCCTTAGCAATTCCAACTATACTGTTTTTGCCACGTCTTCCAGATCGGTTTTCAGGCACTTGTTGGCAGTTTGTAGTTTCATTGCCACCGTTAGGGTTCCGGTTCAGCAGCCGTTTTACGAGCACGTATCGTCGTCAGACCTGAGCGATGACCTCCGGCTGTCGTGGGATTCGCCGCCGTGTGGGAAGTGCGAGTCCCGTGGTGGGCGGTGTGGGTTCCAGATCAATTCCACTGCTGACATTGCTTGCTCCTACTTTCCTTCCCAAGGTACGTTCTACCCCGCACATCCAAACGCACCTTGTAATTTTCTACTGTTTTCTCTCTCCCGTTTCTGTTATTGCTTTTATAATATTCCGTTGACGTTGCCTTGGCTTTACTATTTGATAACAAAGTCAAATATATCAATCATGAGTGATAAAAATTGCTCAAAAAATCATGAATAACAAAAAATAAAATTGGAAAATTTATGGGGGATATTTTCCCATTTTTTTTAATCAATTACAGAGAAACAATCTTCATTTCAAACTATTGTTTCTATGAGCACTTCATCCCTTCCAAGTTTTTTCGACCCTCGGGGGGGAAAAAAGACATCGCATATGTTAACATGCTTATTACTCAACGGGATTGCAAAGAATATTTCAGATTGGATGGCAGCAATATGTGGAAGATAACGAAGAGAAAACAACACATCTTATTTCAGATTGGACTGCAAAGAATATCTCAGGTTGGGAAAGCTAGCTAGCTGCTAGTATCATGCGGAGCGTTAATTAATTAATTAGCACGAGTAAATAATATTAACTTCGATAGAACGTGGCGCTGGTGGATCGGTTTTTAAATTATTTGCAGTGGTGAGCTGGAAGTGGCGTTCTCTTCTCTGTTTTTTTAATTTTCTATTGTCGGTTTCTTTTAATTCTAATTTGACAATCTCAACACCGACCCATAACGTCAATTATCCTCCACTATGTATTGTCTGCAAAAGTCTTTACTTTTTTAATTTTTTTATTCTAAGGTGAAACTAATCAGTAATTACCTCAGTCAATGCTTTATGCTGGGCTTTTGATTATTGGACCGACTAAATGCATTAGCCAATTTAAGAAGTCTACACGGACAAGTCCGATTTCCAACCTGAAAAATGAAAGTGAAAGCAAAATTTTCATTGAAACCCCTTCAATTGTCTGATGGTAATTGGGGAGGAAAGTTGAAAAGTTTTCAGGTATTCCCTTTCCCTCTTAAATCTTCCAAATTGTTTTTCAACCTAAGTTTTCCAACTGTTCATTTTCTTCTATCGTCCAGCTTTCTCTCCTTTCTTATTCAGCTCTCACGCCTTCTTTCAAAAATGAGCTGTTGATTATATTAAAGATGTGATTTGAAAGGGGTGTGATTTGTTTTAACTAAGTACGTTTGAAGGTTGATAGGAGGCTAAACAAGCTAAAAATATATATAAAAAGACGGAGATCAACACTAATATTAAAGATAAAATATAAACTAGGTTACAATATTAACTGTTTACTTACAAGTCTAAATAACGTGACTTATGTTTTAAATTTCATGAAATTTATGAGGTTCACCTCTTGGAAATAAAAGAGATAAGATTTTCAAAATATAAATTCAAACTATCACTTGCCCCCTTTTGCTTATGGAAAACTATCAAAATGAACTCTAATTGCAAATAAACGCTGGGACAGTTTGCACCCAAAAATTTTAAAATGAGTTGTTTTCGTAGTTTGACCAATGTGTCGAACTATTGATAGCTAGCATAGCATTATTCAAAAACGTTGCACTGAAATGTATACCCCGAAGTGCTGGAATAAATGTTAATCCCCGTGAATGAAACTGTGGTAATGGCGGCAGGGATTTCAAAGGGAGCACGTTATGCCATAGGCATAGGCATTGGAGTGCCGGCTATGTTGGGCCTCATCGGGATGCTGTATTACGTCGGCGAGAGGTGTAGAAGGGTCGAGACATATGTTGGGCCGGAACCGCAGTCCGCAATGGCGTCGGGCCTTGATGGGCCGACGATAGAGTCGTACCCAAAACAAGTGGTGGGAGAGGCGGAGGAAGGGAGGTGCCCAATATGCCTGAGCGAGTACAGGCCCAACGAGACGCTCAAGACCATACCTGCATGCCTCCACTCCTTCCATTCTCACTGCATCGACGCATGGCTTCCCTTGAATGCTTCCTGCCCTCTTTGCAGGAAGATTAGTTCTTGTTGACTGTTGAGCTGGCGTTGAACCTCTACACCCACAAGCTTCCAGTTTCCATGGTTGTACTTCTCCAACAATTGCTGACGAGGTGAGACCTAGTGCAGAGACCACCACGTGTCTCAACTCTACTATCTCATTTTCAAGGGCTGTAAATTGATGTCTCTACCACTCTGCCTGTCAAGGAGTCAAATAGATCTTTCTTGCTGCACTTGACAATTTCAAGCAACCAAACTGCTCTCCTTTTTTCATTAAAAAAAAGAAAAGAGTGAATGAGTGTACATAATTCAACGCACAATAACATTTCCATAAGCAAAAGGTTTTGATAATATGATTATTTTAATTAAAAACAATTAACTAGTTACATTCATTCATGAATCACTTCCAACTTTAAAATTTTAAATCTTGTCGAAACAACCGAAACTGAACTCAAAGGAGATGCTGAGCCAAAGGAATTAGGAGGAATTGTTAGATTGTTTTCATCTCCTTCTTGCATCTGTACCACAATGTTCATGGAAGGGCGATTTATTGGATTCCACTGGATGCCCCAAAGTCCCACAACTGCTAGTTTTTTAATAATGTTATTGTCTCCATCATCCTCAATTTGGACATGCATGTCTCTCGCTTCAAGCAAATTATAAACCCATCCAGGATATAGAATCTGGCAAGTCCCATCAATTGATATATCTATATTTTTTCTTCCTCCAATAACTTCAACATTCCAAAACTATAAATGTCAGATTTGTAACTCACACTTCCAAAGTTTCTTGACAAAACTTCAGGTGCTATGTAGCCCAGAGTTCCTTTGGCTGCAGTAATAGAGACCGTGCTTTGATTTTTTGAACATAATTTGGCTAAACCAAAATCAATAATTTTGGGAATGAAATTGTCATCTAATAACACATTAGACAGATTGATGTCAAAGTGAAGAATACGGTTATCACAACCATAATGTAGATACTCAATCCCTTTAGCTATTCCAAGAACAATGTGTTGTAGTCTCTCCCAACCAAGGAAGTTCTCCTTATCTAGTGGATTTATGTGGTTTTGTAACGAACCATTGGGGAAGAAATTATAAACAAGAGCATGGTGAAATCCATCCGCACAAAAACCAAGCATGCGAGCCACATTGACATGATGGATTTTTGCCATGGTTCCCACTTCGTTGATGAACTCTGTTCCATCTCCCTCCACATTATTGAGTATCTTTACTGCAACTGAAATTTCGTTGGAGAGTTTACCCTTGAACACTGCTCCATGAGCTCCTTCACCTAACTTGTCCTTCAAGTGATTTGTGATTCTATAAATATCAGCATAAGAGAATCTAGTGGGTCTGAATGCCCTGTAATCCTGTAAAAACTTTTCCACTCTCGCTTGATCCTCTCCTTTGATTCTAAAATAGCGGTAGATTTTATAGAATGCAAAGAAAAGCAGCGCCAGAACAGCTGAACCAACAGGCACGCCTGCGCGATGATCATTGATAATTCCTTGCTAGTAAAAAAGTTGTAGAAAAAGAAAATGCTTAAAAGAGAGAAGTGATCTCACCTATAGCAGCGTAGAGTATCTTACTGATAGGTTTGGGAGGGCGGTCATAGCATTGGATAGCATCTTCTGTACCGTTGTTGTTCAACTCACATAATTTGCCTCCGGCTTCGCACTCACTGCAATCAGGTTTATACCACCATAAAGTCCAAACATTTGGGTCTCTGTCCCAAAAGTGTGATGGAATTATGTTAAACATCCTGGTGCAGGATATTAGGCCCGAATCAAGGAGCGTTTCCTCAGAGGCTGCGACGTATGGGCAGGAGAACTCATTTGGAGGACAATTAAAGAAATAGGTGACAAATGAATTTGATTCAAATGGAGACGATCTAAATTGGAAAGGAGAAATTGAAGAATGGTTGAGCTTCAGAAGCTGCCTGGGAAGGCAATTTTCTGTGTCAGATATGGACACATAGTTATAATTGTAATCTATGAGATTAACCCTGAATTGGATTGGAAGTGGAAGTGCAGGAAGCTCAAGCAGCGTGTGATGTTCGTGACAAGTGTTATCAAACCCAGGATAGCCACAAGGATCGGGATCGATATATTTGCGTCGGAAAGGAAACCAATTTGGAGGGCCATGACGTCCACATCGTGATTCTCTGCACTCATCAATACGGCAAAGCCCATGTTGCTAAGTTCCAGCGATATCATCAGCAGCAGCAGCAACCAGCAAGATTTGGGATACCGCATCATCGTTGAACCAGGAAGGAAACTGTGAAATTCAACTTGAGGTGAAGCTTTGATTTGTGGTTTCTAGGAGAGAGGCAACATTAACATCACAATTAGTCTCGGGCTTGACTAATCCCAACCATTTGACAAGTCAACAATGCGAATAGGAGGAATGCATAAGTAGACCCCATACTTCTCCGTTATTATCTGTATTTCTTGACTAGCGGTTGCCATTTGGAAATCACACAAAACGATTCAGTTCCAGCGATATCAGCAGCAACAACCAGAAAGATTTAGGATTCCACATCGTCGGTGAACCAACAGGGGAATTGCGAAATTCAACTTGAGGTTAAGCTCTATTTTGTGGGTTTTAAACAGACTTCCGTGCAATTTGTGTAGGATCCCAATGGCAGAAAGGCAACCTCCAACATTTGACAAGTCAACCATGTGAACAAAAGAAATTAAACATGCATATATACATAATAGCCGCCAACCTTAGTTAATATTCGAATTCCTGACTAGCACACGCGGTTGGAAATATCAGAAATATGGTTCCATCCTCCATGTGGAAACAATGGGAAGGCAAAGTATTGTTCCATTACTCTCCAGGATTTTGGGTGTTGTGGATCTTTATCATCCCCCTTGCCTTGCAAACATGTACTGCGAAGCACCATCAACATTGCGCTCCTTCTTCCTATGGCAAACTCCCCAACATAAGCTACCCATTTCGATTAAAGCAAGACCCGGGCAAGTGTGGCGAGCGCGAATATGAGTTGGATTGTGTCAACAACGTTGCCGTCTTACGTTTGAATTATGCGGAGTACACTGTAGAGGCGATCAACTACAACAATTACACCATCAGACTGGTCGATCCTGGCATTCAAGAGGCTAATTGCTCCTCCATGCCTCGCTGTCTTTTGTTTAATTCCAATTTCAGTGGTTTCTCCTCATCCCAAGGCGAGGAATTTCATTCAGACAATGAACAAGTGGATCCTTATCAACCCGCCCAAGCGAGAAATTACGACGGCTGGGCCTTGATCTTCCGCGATCTATTGCAGCCTATAATTTACCTGAGGTGTGCGGATCCTGTGAGGGACGATGCTTCGTATGTAGATACCGCATCATGCCTTGACGATTCCAATACGTACGCTGTTGTTGGGAACATAGACCTTGCAAGTTGGAGGCCTGGTTGTCGTGTGAAGGCAGTCTCTCCTACTTCCTCGACATGGTCTTCCGTTGCGGACGGCGGTAGTGCTCATCTTAATGTTTCATACAAGGATATTCATAGGCAACTATCCTTCGGATTCGAGCTTTCCTGGATGCATTTTGTTTGTCGTTCTCAATGTGGTTCCAAACCTTGCTACTTCAACTACACCGTCGGAGGCACCCAGTGCCACTTTGAGCACTCACTGCTATTACATCAATGGAGGGGCCCACTCCTGAGGTAAGAAGATTGCTTCATAATCCATTTCTATCCAGTTTTCGTCAATTTCGAAGATCGGCAACCTGATTTTTTTTTTTTTTCTAATTTGTGGATTGTTGCAGGAATTTTCACAAGGATTGCCATTTACACGAAAAGTATATAACCTTGTCTTCTTAATTATTATCCGCTTCTCATATTGGTACCTGATTGCATTTTCTATTTATCTTTGGCCTTCTGCCATTATACTAATTTGATTAGATCCTTTCCTATATTTAGTGTGTCAATATAATGCCCATATAAAATGTTTGTATTGTTTGATACAATTAGTGACATGAACCCACATAACCATGGATAACAATGTCTTATGCATTGTATTCGTTCGCGCCTTTTATCTGGTTAGACCTGTTTTTCTCTTTCTTTATAATAAATTAATAATTTGTTCTTTTAACAGTTCCTCTTTTTCTAGAACTATGAATGATATATCTATTGACAGTTGTGAAATTTTCTTGGCAGCTTCTCTTTCCGGCACTGTAACTGGTATGCCCATTGCCCTTGCCTTTTCTGACCAATATACCCTTTTCCCTCGTAAATTAAAGCAGTCCCTTCCTTTGTCTCCTTACTTCCTCCATATTCTCGTACTTTTCTTTTGGAGTATTGAAATTGTGTATGCATATAGCAATGTAAGTCAGAATTAGAAGATGCGGTCAAGATTCTTTATCTTAACGATGCAGCTTCTTTTGACTGTTTTATTCATACATTCACACAGGATTGGCGTGGTTAATTACATTTCGGCACATACATCTTGACAATGCAAATGCATTTAATAGAGCAATTGCGGTTGGATATTATGGCCTACCATCATTTTTAGCAGCTAGATTTTTGTTTGGGGCTACGCTTCTGATTGCCATATTGATTCATAAATGGAGGAGGAGACATCTTTCGGTTTATGAAAATATTGAGAACTTCCTGCAAGATAAAGAACTTGTGCCTATAAGATACTCCTACAAAGAAATCAAGAAGATGACAAATAATTTCAAGATCAAATTGGGTCAAGGGGGCTTCGGTTCTGTACACAAGGGGAATCTGCGTAGTGGGCCTTACGTAGCCATAAAAATGTTGGGTGCGACCAAAACTAATTGGCAAGAGTTTATCAATGAAGTAGCAACTATTGGAAGAATTCATCACGTGAATGTGGTTCGGCTCATTGGGTATTGTGTTGATGGGTCAAAACGTGCTCTTGTTTATGAATTTATGTCCAATAGCTCTCTGGACAAACATAGTTTCTTAAAGGCAGGAGGCATCACTCTAAACTATGAGAAAATATATGAAATATCTCTTGCAGTAGCCAATGGAATAATGTATCTTCATCAAGGTTGTGATATGCAAATTTTACATTTTGATATCAAACCTCATATTCTTCTTGATGAAAACTTCACTCCTAAAGTTTCAGATTTTGGACTTGCAAAGCTTTATCCTGTGAATGATAGTATGGTTACCTTAACTACTGCAAGAGGAACACTAGGTTACATGGCTCCAGAATTGTTTTATGAGAATATTGGAAGAGTTTCTTATAAATCTGATGTTTACAGTTTTGGCATGCTTTTAATGGAAATGGCAAGTAAGAGGAAGAATTCTAACCCCAATGCAGAGCACTCAAGCCAAGCTTACTTCCCCTTTTGGATTTATGATCAATTTAGCGAGGAGAGAGATATAGAATGGAAGATGCCACAGAGGAGGAAAAGAAGCTGGCAAAGAAGATGTTTATAACTGCACTGTGGTGTATCCAATTGAAGACTCAGGATCGGCCTTCAATGAGCGAGGTGATAAAGATGCTGGAAGGGAAATTAGAAAGTTTAGAGATACCACCGAGGCCTTCCTTTTATCCTGATGAAATTGCTGGCAAAGATGTTGGAGTCAGCACTAGCACAACACTTACAAGTAGCTTTAGTTGTGACACCAGTGACCTTACACCACTGTGTAACTGAGCTGATATTGTACAATATATCTACTGTGGAAGGAAAAGTTGTTTTCATCTTTTTTGTTTTACACCTATATGTATTTCATTCTTGTATATATGTGTGTGTGTGTGTGTGGATATAATATATGTATTTAGGGGTTTAAATGTCAACTCTGTTAAGAAGTCAAATAGTTGGGCTTGATAATTTGAAATGACCAGCTCCAGCTCTCCAAGACTGAACCAAATTGAACTTCTGCTTTTTATTTGTTTATTTATTTGGAAGAGACATACGGAAAGGAGGGTGGAATTGACCATGACCACAGAACTCTTGTAAGAAGCATCAACCTTCAATCAATTAATCTAAATAATTTTTCGGTTAATATTTATTTAACCACCCTAAATATCATGAATGGATCATTTCACGCTGCAGCTTGCGGACTTTGGAGATCAGTTTCTCATATTTAAATTGTTTCTTTTAAATCAACTAATTAGTATTCCACAAGTTCTCTGAGACTCCTTTGACAAGATCGATCATTATTTATTTTTTGTAATGTTGCAATCACGTGTGTAGTTAGTTGAGCCACCCGTGCTATTGCACCAATGTAAGTAACAGTGCACGGCATATCTGCTTTAAAAATGAAAAAACAGAAAAGGAAACAATGAGATATGATATATTTGTATACATTCAGAGAGATGAAATATGTTAGGGAGAAAGAGAAAAGCATAGCAAACAAGACAGTTGGTAATTGGAAAGTGGTTTATAGAATTTACAGTCCTTTTATTTCTTTCTTCAGAATCTGCATTCAATGTTGTTATTGTGCGGGTAATATCATGGTACTCATTACTATGGTTAAATCTAGGCTATCTAAAGTTAATATTAACAGTTCAGAGTTCAGACTTATCAACCCGTATCTCAATGAACTCAAAGATTTACCTTTCCTCATTTGACAAAAATTATGTAGAATCTGATTTCGTGATTAACATGACCGGAGATTTTGGGTTCACACTTATGTCATTTCCATATATCGTTCCAAGTTCTATACTCGAAAGCTTAAAACTTAATATTTTATATTTTAATATTTTTTATTGAAAAAAAAATCATTGCAAAATTAGTGCACGAGACGAAGTGTCTTGCTCGTAGCACATACGTGAGTAGTATCCATGGTATAGATTCTCCTGCCTCATCAATCGCCTGCCTACTGGTACTAGCTAGCGTCACGAAAGGGGAATAAAAAGAGGTATTTATGAGTGCTCATTGCTCAATCTCGTCTGCAGTAAAATCGGGCTCTGCAGGCTTCTGGAGCAACATGGGCGGAAATCTTTCGGCCAACCGTGTTTTCCTGGACCGATTCCGTCGTAAGGCTCGAAGCGCATTGGCAGCAAATCTGGAAGCATATATTGTAGCACCAAGGCTAGGTGAGTTACCACTTGCCGTTGCCAACGCATCTTGCAGCCTGTTCTCTTCTTCCCTCAGAGACTCTTCAAGCTTCTTCTTACTATATCGCCGCCACGCTGCCTGTATGAAACACGCGGCCCATGTCCGCCATTGTTGCGAGTAGAACCTGAAAGTGTGACGAAGCTGCTTACTGTGAAGACGCCTGAACTGAGACGCCACGACCTTCAAGTCGTCGGCTTTGAGAGAAAAGGCTTCAACTTCTACGAGGGTCCGTACGGTCCTGGTTGAGATGGGAAGATTGGATGAGGAATGGGGATCTAATGCCCACGTCAGAAGCTCCTCCCCGCAGAAGTCGCCGCCCTTGAGGAACTCTGAGTTAAAGAAGCCTGTTCTTCCGCCATTGGTTGTCACCGTCAGTAGTTTGCCTCGCATTATGAAGAGCATCTCGTCCACCGGATCTCCTTCCCGAACGATGCAGCTTTCTTCTGTGTAGAGCACTGGCTTCAGACGGTCACCCATTGCATCCAACAGTTGTTCATCCATTTTCTCAAACATTGGCACCTTCAATATAAAACAAAACCCACCAAATGTCAGCCCGAGACTGTAATACACAGATTTCATCTTTTGGCTCCAGTCCAGTAATCTTGCACTCTTCTTTTTAAGCGTCTGATTCTGATTCACCACCTGCAAAGCAGGATTCCTAACTTTGCAGCAAAAAAACTGCATGTTCAATGTCAGCGACTTGCAAGGCCTTTTGAGAGAGGGAAAAAAGGAAGAAGATATTCTAGCATGAATAGGAAATTTAAAACCATTTCATCACATGGATTGCTCTTAAAATTAACCTGAATGAACAACATAAACAATAAAAGTTGGGGCCAAAAGCTGATGTAAAATAACCCCTCTGATAGCGAAGTAATTCAGAAGAAAACAATATTGAAAAGCGGCGGAGAAACATACTCTCGTCAGCAGAGCCAAGCAAAGATGACGCTTAATGTCCCTTCGTAAATCCTTAGGAAGACTACGGATCAAGTTTTCCTCATCAACACCTCTGGTTTCTTGCCATTTGTATTGTTCATATCGTCTGATTCGCTCTCTCAGACTATCAGGGAGCAACCGATGAGACATCCATTGTTCTGCATCTCTTCTTTTGACTCTCATCTCCTCCAATCTTGTAGTTGTTGACTGCAGATATGTCTGTTTCCAAAAAAGTAAAATTTTGTCAAAGACCCTGAAGAGTGAAGACATTATTTTCTCGACAGTGACAGAGTGGCATGGGCGTTATGACATACAGTTGCTCATGTTTGCATGGGGAAATTTAACACTTAAACATCCCCCCCTGCTTAAAGGAAAGTTAAGCTTTATCTCTAATCCCTCGAAATAGGAAGTGTCCACATCTGTGAATCAACGTGTAACTGAAGCATATATGTGTCTCAATCATTTAATCGACCAGAATCATATCAGGGGAATCTAATATAAATCTAATTAAAATGAGAAGTGACAGAAAATATCTATCACAATTAAGAACAAAGCGTATAGAAATAAAGACTCAACACGCATGTGTTATATTCAAAGGCCCCTAAATCTCTTACTGTATTTATCAGTGGACATTTGGTCTGATAACCATTTTTGTCCTAGAATTTACCAACTCGACTTTAGATGTAGAGATGGGAACAAGAAACTCCTCCAGCAGTTCATCCGCTACCCAAAAGTATACTTTTTTTTTTCTTGAATGCACTGAAGGTATACACAAGGGATCAGGAATGTAAGGGCCCATTTGTTTCTGGTTTAGAAAACAAAAAATTTAAAAAACTCATTTGTATAAATGTTTTGGATTTAATTGTTTTTAAAATTATTCTCATTTTTTATTTTTAAAAACAAAAAATAGAAACATTTCAAAGTTGCTTTCATTTTTTAAAAAAATACATTACATTTGATTTGATTATTGAAAACTATTGTTAGTTTGACCAATTATTATTATAAGCCATCGCTATTTGCCACCGATGCCATTTATTATCAATTGATTTTTTAATTCTAAAACTATTTTTAAATTAATATGATCAAACATTTTCATTTTATTTTGTTTTGAAAAATAATTCTAAAAACAGTTTTACAAAATAGATTTTAGAAATAAAAAAAGGAGAACACAACCAAACAGGCTCTAAATCTCACTATGATTGTAAATGCCCTGGTAGAGATAGCATATTTACATCTAAAATTGCCTATTATTCCACAAGAAAGTCCCAGATTTGGTCCGGTGACAGTAATAGTGCTTCTACCATTTAAGTCATTGAAATCCAGATCAACGGTTCAGATGAACTCACTTATTTATTAATTTCAAGTAAGATATAAATTTATAACCATTGATCTAGATTTTAACAACTCAGATAGTATAGGCACTAGGTGTCTATACTAAATATAGTCATCGAATCCAAATTTAGAAAGTCTTTGACAAGAAAATCTTCTCACGGAGTAAAACTACAAATTTGAAACAAGCCACAAGGGTAAAAGCGGTGCTAATATTGAATATATTCTAATTCTAATTTTAACCATTAGACTCCATAGATAAAAGATAATAGGGAGATATTTGGTACCAACCTGCATATTTCCGATAAGAAATGAAAATAATACCAAACCAGAGATGGAGATGAAAACAGCAAAGATGATCTCCCAAACATAAGTACTTGTTGCCAGGTTCTGACCAAGAGAACTGCAACAAGAAAGATCCAAGTTCCGAGTAAAAGGGAGAGGAAACAATTTTAGGGTGTCAGAAGAAATCTTCTAAATCAAAAGGCATAATATTTTAAATGATATGATCTTCCTTATTTACCATTCCCCATTAAAACCCTGATATTTTCTTTTTTTCGCACAAAAAAGAGCCAAACCCTGAGTGTTAGAGCCACAGAATAATACCAATTGAACAATATGATTTGTCCATTTTATTTTATCCCCGAAAGAACCTGCCAGCTCTCGTAAAGAACTTCATAAACAATTTCAAAGAATCCAAGTGCAGCTACCAGTGTTATAACCTTACATCATAATATATTATTAATTCATAATCTAAAACAATTTATTCGTGTAATGGGGAAATATCTATGAAACACACCTCAAATTTCTAAGCCCCCACCAAAAACAGTAAAGAAACTTCTGTGGGAAATCTCCTGACTCCACTATACCAGACTGAAGTGCATCAAGGAATATTCCAAAATTAAAAAGTGTAGTATTTGCCTCTTGTATCGGGCAAGAATCGTTCAAGTAGTTTACAATGTCCCTTGACCCTGGAGAACCACAATACAGAGCTGACTTGTGACATGTAGCATTTCTACGGCAGGCTCGTTGCCAGTAAGTGGTTTCTCGTTCTATAGAAAACAAGTACCAAAAGGCACCAAAAACCTACATGCAACAAATAAGTTGGCAATCAGAAAAATAACGGTTGAGAACATTTTGCCTTTTCAATTATTATCGTTATTACAACAAACGAATAAAATTCTTTTGATTGACCTTGTAATCTTAACATAGCACATCTAAATAAGTAACATTAGGTATTTCCAAAATAATATTGGGTAATCATCATGAATGTGGCCTTCAACTAACAGCTAATAATAACTACTTGATATGGTGAAGTGCAGGAAAAAAATTTCAAGTGGTATTATTTAAAGGCTTTGACTTCAAGATTCCAAGCATAAAACTTCGCAACACTAATTCTTAAAAGCATTTGAATTTAAAATTAACATTAAACTTTTGAAAGTACAGCCACATCAATCATATCCATAATATATCAGTGCATATATATATACATGCACGAAATAAAAAGATAATTGTTCATGGATTTAGCGTATATACACATCCAAGGAGTCTCATGTTCCAATCCATTGAAATAATCACGCTTCCCATTCAAGAATCAATCATCCCCTGACTTACGCAAAGAATCATATTTTGCCCCTAGAGCTTCTAACTCTGGCATTTTTCACTTGACAATTGAAAGGCATGTCCTACATTTGCCTCCTTAAAAATTGACACACACACACACACACACACACAAATTTTGAAACACCACAAAATCCAATAGGAACAAGACATCTTACCAAGATTAATTTTTAGTTGATATTCTGGAATTGGCATCTCTGGACGGTAATGCAGATTGCATATGAAACGCAAGCAATGATTATAATTTATAACGTAACCACATGTGAACGCATCATCACCACACAATCATTATATGCACTAACAGGATGTGCTCCTTTAATTCAGTGACTATACAAAGCCCCCCTTGGTTACAGAAAGAATTAAATTGTCACACTTGCAAACAAGCAAACTTAAAAAAATCTTATGGGTTAAAAGAGAGAACCAATAAACCTTGAAATGGAAATGATAAAGAAAACATGCAGTAGAAATTAATGCTAGATTTCTAATGAATCACAGAGAAAACTTACATGACTCACAAGCATGTAAAGAAAAAGATTGAATGCTGCTCCAGCCCAAGCAGTTTCAGTGAGAATGCCAGAGGTCCTTGTGATTTCTTTATATAAAGGAACAACACGTAAAAGCCTTGGTACATATTGGAAGAAAACAACAAATTTTAGAAAGTTCTTTGTGTTCAGCGATTTAAAGCCTCCTGTTAACCTTGGAATGACAATCAAAATCACCACCTAGCAATATTTGAGTAAGGTTTTAGTCAGTCAATAAGCTTTCAAGAGCCATCCATGCAGCCAAAAAAAAAAAAGTGAAGCCAGTTAAATCAACTGTTGATTTCAAAGGCCCATGAAACAGAAGACTTTGACATTTTCCAATTCAGAGGGTTGAACTTATCTTCCCCAATTTCATTATATGTGAATTGCATTAGTAAATTAATGGCAGCAAAACGACTGAGATGCCACTAACAAGACAAACACAGGCATATATAGATGGATATAGAGAGATAGAAATATATATATATATATATATATCTAGAGAGAGAGAGAGAGAGAGAGATGAATGCTGAGTCACTTGTAAGGTTAAAGGGAATTAAAGAAGATAAAAGTCAAAACAATGATACAGCAAAAATTAAATATGATTTTCGTTACCTGTGGGAAGGGAAGAACAGCAAGAATGTCAATGAAAAAGTATGAGGACAGATACCTCTTCGCTATGGCCCATGCATCTTCAACCAAAACACCTCTTCCAAACACTCGAGAAGAGGGAGCAATAAATCCAGTACGAAATTGGAAAATTATGTGGATTATATAAAAAATATCACAGAAAGATCTTAGAACAGTAGCTGTTATCTCCATCTTGTGGTCCAGTGAAAGGCATTTCTTCTCACCATCAACAACAGGGACATAAAAGAACAAAGGATCTAGTGACACAGCAATAAGACATGATAATACAAATATCTTGTTCCACTTTTGAAGGAATGAGCCCTGTGGATCAAGGATTTTATTTCTAGAACTAAAACTTCTAGCGACCACACTATTATAAGGAAAAGATTTGAATGAATTTATAAATCTCTTAATTCTCTCAGAACCAGATTTGAAGCCTCTTTGAAATTTCATAGAAACTGACTTTAGAGAAGATGAGATTCTCCCTGGGTGGCTTGTGCTACTTGCAATGGAATATTGGTTCTCACCGTTCCAATTCCAATCCTGAAACCTGTATATATTATATAAATTAACATAAAATCAGTCCATGAATCTGATCACAGAATGATAAGTCCGAATATAACTCCAATAATCAGTGAAACATGTAATTGCCAAATAAAGCATCAAGCTTTGCAATTTACTGGTGTTAACAACTAGGAAAGTTCAAATCTGATGCGCAAGAGTGGTGGCTTAGAGGCGGCTGACAACACAAGGCTACAAAAGCAGTCTCTAGGGAAAGTGGCTGTATATCTACCAAATGTAAGAGGCAAATAGGGACAACTGAAAATCAATGATATAACAAGACGTATGTCTCAGTAGTCAAAAGAAGATATATTTTTCACCAATTAGATGACCAGTTCCCTCCTAATTTCTCAAAGGTACTTTCAAAGTCCAGAAGTAAAAAAATCATTATACTTTTTTTCAGTTTACTCCCTTCTAATCACAGAGAAAAATGTTTCTAAAATTCCATAGGGAGCACCGTGACACCGCTTAAAGTAGATTAGGGCATGTACCCATTGACTAACCTGACTGACTTCTCCTGCTGAATATTCATTACTGTAGCCCAGTATGGAGACAGTCAATTAAGAGAAGGATGGACGTTCTTGCTAAACTCACTCAATCTGAAGAGCTTCATCATGCACCAGAGATTCTCCCAGCAAAAATATGAGAAGGGCATACTATGTTAGAAAACCCATTTCTGAAATTAGGTTAAACTCCTTCATGACAATATCCATCCAATAGAGTAAGAGTGTAAAACAAGAGGACCAACGATATGTTGTTGCGGTCGATATAAGTAACCATACTTTAGTCCCAAAATCGTAAAATGAATTAGAACTTGTGACAATGGTTAACGTAATTGCTACGAATATAACTTTCAATGGGTTTATACTCGCGACTAAATGTCCGACTTGGGGAAAAAAGGTATATAAACTCTAACAGTCAATAACTGAATTGTAAACATTCATTCATTAATCATCAATAACTTCCAAATTTTGTATCAACAAAATAAAAGTTTGAGAAAAAGAACCGCTAGCAAAATAGAAAGTGACAAGAAAATAAATTCATCTTCAAGTTGCTGGATTGGTAATAGAACGGCTAAACCAGGACTAGAACTAGAGGGGAAGAAGAAGAAGAAAAGACGTTCAAATTCAAACTCAAAAACTGATTGTGATCAGAGACAGGGGAGAAGGATACCCAGGAAAAACTCCAGAAGCTGAGGAAGCAAATTAGCAAAGCCAGAAATTTGAAGCCTTCAAAGTTCAAACACTAGTTACAGAGAGGACGAGGAGAGAAGAGGAGGAAGTATCGCGGAAATCACAAGAACAGTGACAACTAACCAGTCGTTTCGCTCCTTAAATTGATAAGAGAAAAAAAAAATGTCGACAGTGTGAGAGGGAGGAAAGGAGGGAGGAACGACGACTTTATTCGATGATGGATGAGGCAAGAATTTCTTGGCTGTGTGGGGCCCCAATGTTCAGATATGCGTCTTTGTCTACGGTCGTTTTTGTCCGGTCAAGTCTGTTGCTCTTGACGGGTAAACGCGCCCCACCCACCGGTGCAGCATATTGCCTCCAGTATCTCGTACTGGAATTAATATTAGTAATAATAATAATGATCATGATCATGATATTGGCATTAATAATTTTAAAAAATAATAATATTTTTAATATATTTTTAATTAAAATCAATCTATTTTAATTATTTTTAATTAGTATTTTTATAATATCTTTATAAAATTAATAAAAATATTTATAAAAATTAAAAATTTAATATTATTGACTTTTTAAAAACGGTCTTACATTTTAGACAAATATTTGCCAATAAAAAATGTCCTATAGTTTGGATAAGATGGACTAATTTCTTTTTCAATATTATTAATTGTAAATTGTATTTATTTTCAGTTTAATTTTAAATTATTTTTCAAATTTTTTGTTGTTATTTTTAATAGGAAAAATTAATCATTTTGCCCTTGTAGTTTTTACCGAGTTGTAACTTAATCCTTCAATTTTGACTCATTATAACTCAATTCATGATGTTTTGGTTTGATTATAAATTAGTTCATGAACTTTTAACTTCTTAAATATCAGTCCTTATATTTTAAAAAATAAAATTATAAAGATTAAGAATATTTAAAATATTCTTAATCTTTATAATTTTATTTTTTAAAATATAAGGACCAATATTTAAGAGATTGAAACTTTAGAGACTAAATTGCAAGAGATAAACTTTAGGAACTGATTTATAATTTAAAATTTTAAAAATTGAGTTACAATAAGTCAAAATGCAAGAATTGAGTTACAATTAAGTCAAAATTATAAGGGTCAAATGATTAATTTTTTTCACTTTAATATCAATATTATTTATAAATATATCTTTATGATATTTACTTAACCAAACGAACGACAATATTGGTAAAAAAATCTAAATTAATAATAGTAAGCGATGCTAGAATAGTGCATTTAATTAATAATGCATGATATTTTGATATTTTATATGTGTATAATGATATTATTAGGGAAAATTAATCTTTTAATTTTTTAACTTTTAATTCACTTGTAACTCAATCCTTTAACTATGACTCGCTTATAAGTCAGTCCCTCAACTTTTGAATCACTTACAAATTAGTCCCTTAATTTTTGTTAATTTTTTACATATTAGCTTATGTCTCACATCAATGAGTAAGAGGAGGGTATTTTAGAATAATATATGGACATTTTTTTATTCCTCTTATTTGGTAAGAAATTTTTTAAAAAAATTAAAACATAAGGACTAAATTATAGGTGAATCAAAAGTTGAGGGATTGAATAGCAGCGAATTATAGTTGAAAGACTGAGATACAAGTAAGTTAAAAATTGAAGAATTAAAAAATTAATTTTTTTCATACTATTATTATTTTTGTAACCGCGAAAATGAATAATAGTGAGTCAGACTCATAGATTAGTCACGGGGTGAATCTTAAATAATTAAGTTAACTGTGATTATAAAAGACAATTTGACCGAAGAGAAATTTTTCGCAATGCAATCCGGGATTTAGTGGCTCCTTCCAAGACAATCACTATTCATTAATAGTGGCAGTAATTTCTTGCCGAGAAGTCAACGTCGGTGTTTGGGCCCGTTTGGATTTCAATTTGAAAAAATTGATTATAGAAAAAATTGATTATCAGAACGTGGTGGTGTTTGGATAAATTTTTAAAAATTGATTTTGATAAAATTAAAGGTGTTTGGATAATTTTTTCAGAATCAATTTTGAATGAATAAATTACAATAAAGGACATTTATTTTTATAATGTAATAATTTTTTATCAATTTTTTTAATGTAATATTGATAAAATGAATCCATGTAAAAATATAAATCAATGTATCTAACTTAAAGTAAATTTAATAAAAGAGACAAATACAAATCTTAAATATTAAACATCTAGTTTACAACAACTAATGACTTGGGAGATAATAAACTATCTGATCTCTAATAACATCACGAAGATGAGCCATATCTGATGAGGATGCTGTAGATGAAGGCAAGGATGAATAGTCATCAACATGATCATTATCTTCTTGCTCTATGTGGTCTTCTGTTTCATGACGCATAAATTCATAATCAGAATCAGACTGTTTTCTAATGAAATTATGTATTGCCATTGTTGCAACAACAATTTGAACTTGTATATCATAATCATAGCTAGGCATATGTCGTAAAATTGCAAATCTATTCTTCCAAACCCCAAAAGTTCTTTCTATGATGCACCTTAAACTTGAATGATAATAATTGAAGACCTCATTATTATTTGCAAATGAAGATGACCTCCTAAAATCAGAAAGATGATAGCGCTCACGTCTATAAGGTCCAACATATCCATTTGGGTTTGGATAGCCAGCATCCACCAAATAATATTTACCTTATAAAAAAACAAGATTAATTGACATGTTTGTAATTTTAAGTCTAAGATAACTAAATTTTTTTAAAAAATAAATATACCTAAAGGTGGATGTAGGAAGTTCATTGAAGGAGTTGTGAGAGCATGTTGAAATATGCGAGAGTCATGTGCAGTACCCTCCCATCCAGCCAAGACAAATGTGAAACACATGTCCCAATCACAAACCGCCATTATGTTTTGTGTTGGAATTCCTTTTCTTCCAATATATTTTTGTTGTTCACTAACACTGACCACACATGGAATATGTGTACCATCAATTGCTCCAATTGCATTTTTAAAAAAAGGCCAATATCGTTTATCATTTTGCAATTTTGTTGATATATGACGAAATGTTCGATCTTGTGGCTTGATACATTCCATTGCAAGCATATTACAAGCTGATAAAACATCATGAAAGTGCCTGCTAATAGTTTCTCCTGAGTGTTGAAACCTTTCTTGTGCCATCCTATTTCCTAACCCATGTGCAAGCGTATTTAAAAATATTGCAACCATTTCTTGGACCCCCATTCGCCTAGTTTCTTTCAATCCACACCTTACCATTTCAATACATAGTTGATCAAACACTTGTTTTTCCATTCTAAACATTTCATAGCAACGAATTGGATGCCCTTCTAAAATCTCATTAACCCAACATTGACCTGTGTACTCACTATTTCTTCGAGGCTCCTTGCACAAATGTTTTACTGCATATAAACCAACTATGGCACTAATTTTTTGAGCTCTTTTTAATCGTTGTTTGTATGACTCTGCCATAGTTCTTTGTACCTGTAGTCAAATACATATTTACATGTACACTTTATCAATAATACTGTTCATAAAGTCGAATAAGTGATAAGCAACAGTAAATGCATAATCATTTATAAAATCATCATAATCATCCATGAAGTCAAATATCATATAGTCAACAAAAAGCTTTACAATACCATAGAGTCAGGAAAAATCATTACAATACCATGAAGTCAAGCTAATATAACTAAGTTACAATACCAAAAAGTCAAGCTAATATAACAAAGTTACAATACCAGGAAATCAAGCTAATATAACTAAGTTAACAAGTTAATAACAAGTTTTAATACACCTCATAATCATCCATTTTTAAAAGATTGATATCTTAACCATGCAATGCAAGCCCCCATATTAGTTTTCCTCATCTCAGTAAACATTTCCCTTGCAGTCTGGTCCATGAGGAGTGAAATACACCGTGCATACAGATCATAGTCATTTCTGATTTCATCAATTGCATCAACATGTTGCATAACTTCAGCTATTGATGTTCCATTTACACGAGTTGCTTCTGTCTCTGATACACTGGCTATTTTACTGATTGCATCAGCTATTACTTTTGAGGTGGTCATTTTTTTCTTTCTCTTACTGTTGCATTCAACCCTCTTCCTCTTCCCACTACCACCACTTGTGGTTCCCAATTCCTTCCCATTACCTTCACCATAGATTCCCTGTGAAGTATTTAGAATTACTCTTTGGAACTCACCACTTACTCCAGTAGCAACTCCTAAAATTTCATCACTGTCCCCAGAACCTTCTTCAAGATCTACACCTCGTTGTTCCATATATGGGCGATACTCATCTTCTTCCTCATCTTCAACCCTATGATATTGATAAGGGAGGGCTTTACTTGATGGAGCCCATGATCTGCCTCCTGTGGCTGCTGTATCTTGAAACAATTCACATAATTCATTTGCAAAAGATAATCCTTTATATCGAAATTTTTCATATGTTGGATCTTCCTGCACATATATTACTGATAATATTACACAATACACATGAATAAAGAAAATAAATATATAACCTCACATAACAATGTCATACCGATATCTTTTTCTCCCGCCAATCATCCGGAGCATCTACTGTGTTCTTTTCATGATTCCATCCCAGCCCAGTCTCACTTAGAATCAATCTATTCCAGTCTTTCCATTCCTTTCTCAAATTATCCCATTTGTTTTTGAATTGTTGCTTATCATATTTTCTTCCAGTCTTACTATTGAAGGTAGTTTCTATATTTATCCAGCCTGCTTTGCTAAAGCTACCACCATTTCTCTGCTTCTTGTGCACTTGGTCCAAGCATAAGTCAATAAAAATCTTAGTGCTCCTCATATCCCATGAGGCTTTCGATTTATCCTTAGTCATTGTACTATATAAAAATCAATTTCAGCATATCACAAATCAAAAATTATCCAGCAACCGTATAGTAAGCATGTTGAGGATTATCAAAAAAATTATCCAAAAACATATATGAAAATCCAAAAACATATATGAAAGATGAATTTGACGAACATAAAAACATGAAGGCTCAGTATTATCAACAATTCAGTTCACAAAAATAAAAAAATAAAAAAGGCCAAATATTCTGTTCATCGTCTCCTGTCCAATTTTTTTTCATTTTTGTTTCATCATCTTCTTAATAGAAAGCATATTGTGCAAAGGTCGGAAGTCGAACAT